TACAAGTACAGGTCCATTTACATCAGCTTAGGCCCTAAGAACCTGTGCTGGGCAACAATTAATGAAGAAAATAACTGGCAGATGAATGGATGAGGAAAGTAATCATTAGTTGGTTTGAACTGCAGACTGACTGACCTCACCTTTTTAACCCTGTCGATGACCTCCATACTTTGCTCCGTGATTAATAATGGAGTAATGTAATCACTGCTAATGTTAGCATGTTATGCTGGGAATCAGTGGGGTATCACAGAAGCTGACAGCATGTCCTAGCAACACTGACTCTTAGCTGTCAATCAACGATTTCATTGGAAACTCCGTTTGGGAGCTCAAGGCTTAAACAAGTATGTCCTCTCTTGAAAAAGGTGGCAAATAAAAAGCTTTTTTGTGGAATGTTGTGTAAGCATTTAGGGAGCGATCTATTGTCAGGAAATGGTTAGTGAATTTAAATATATGCAGAATAATTAGCATATGGTATGTTCAGTAGTTGTATAATTACCTAAAATGAATGTGTTTTCCATTACCTTTACAATGCGCTGGTTTTTATCTACAGAGGGAGCGGCTCCTCTTCTATGGAGTCCCCTATGTTGAACCACCATGTTCCTACAGTAACCCAAAACGGACAAACCAAACACTGACTATATGTAGGGTAGCCACTGCAGTTTCTCCTGCACGCTTGGTTGAGTCGAGGGGTTTCAATTGGCTGCAGATGTCACTAAATTCTACACACTGGTTCTTTTAAAAAAGATTCCAAATGTTGAAATCTGTCTCATATAAAAGAGCCCTAAAATTGTCAGTTTTGATTTGAATCTGAAAATGTCTAAATTATGTGAGTATGAATGGGAGCAAGCCTTTGATGCAGTTTGTCAGTACCGAAAAAATACTGAGGTTTAGTAACCAGCATTATTGATGTCAAACAAGACAATTTATTTTCCAATGTATTTACTGCTGTCAGGTGCATAATGGTCTTAGTAAATTAAAAAATGAATGTTTTTTAAAATTTGTACTGAGAAAGTTTGGCTGCATTCATTCATTTGTAACAATTTAAACATAGAATATTAATTGAAGGTACCTACTTCATACCTGATTGAAGGTTGAACAAACAAACAAAATACATTAAATCCAACATATTGACAGCTACACGTGTATACATTCATAAACACATTGTACCATTACAGTCAAGAGTGATTCAACAAATATTCACCAGGAGAGAAAGGTAAAGTGTGTCTAGTTGAGCAACTCGGTCTGCCCTCATAAGAGCAGTGAGTACTGATCCCGGAGCTGTAGTGTTGACTGTTTCTTTGAGGAAGCTGGAGTTGGAAATGTGTGACGCAGCCCGGCAGTGAGTCAAGGCAGCACTGCTGATATGAGGGTAATACCAGAACTATGTCTCGATTTGGACCCAGGCAAACGAGCCAGTTCAGACGGAAAACCGTGACTCACGCCGCAGGCCTTTGTCACGAACTTGTGACACTGTGGATCATATGTCTGACTGCAGTTATGAGTTTTCCTGTCGCTCTGTCTGAAATGCTGTGCTCTGAGCTGCTTTCTCCTGCATAGCTGAGTGTCAGTGAGTGGCGGAGCCCGGCCTCAGAGTGCACAGACACTGAGGCTCAGAGGCCTTTCTGCTGCTCTGTGGTTGAACCTTTCCTTCACGTGATGGAGCTTAGCGAGTCAGTCTGTGTACAACGTGGAGCCCACAACTTTACCACTGATCAAAAGTTGTTTTACTGCGCTCAGTCACTTCCTATGTCTTGCTTAAAGAAAGAATACTTTTCATTGTCTTCTTCCTCGTCCTTCTCTGAAGTGGCCTCTATGGAAACCGCCCGTGTGTGTGACAGGTGATTTCATCACGATGGCTGACCGTGTGTGTGCACCTGTGCATGCGTGTGTGTGTGTGTGTGCGTGTGTGCGCCTTGTGGCAACCAAACAATGGTTTCTTAGTTATGCCTGATAGACCTCTGGCCCTTATCTTTTGTTTTTGGCAGCGGGGGTACATATGCGTGTGTACCAGACACCGCCTGTAGAATTCCTTTCTCTCATCATCAGTCTTGTTAGAGGAAACACACAGTCAGCTACCTGAGGCTCCATAGAGTCCAGGCTGTGGTCCCACTTTCCTATGAGCGCTGAGGCAGGCACATACTTACAGACAGGACTGTCCCAAGTCAGCTCTAAGTGCAACACTCGAGGCCTCACCCTAAACTTCAGTGTAAAATGTAGTAGTTTGTTCATCACTATTGCCTCTCACTTTAGCTTTTTGACTGTTTACCTTTTTTTCTCGAGTGGCGTATTTTATGGATATTTCATATTATATTCAAGGTATAACTAACAGTAGAGAACAACTGATGAAGTGTACAGTGAACACAATAACTGTAGGAAGTTTAAGGCTTATTTTTTAGTACTGTCTTTTCATTGTTCTATTAGCTCTTTGGTTGTTTGAACTTTTACAATGCAGGCGAGGCTGTGAGTGAGGGCTCTGTGAATACAGCTTGTGTTCAGGTCTTCAAAGGTTAGATCTTAAATAATAATCTAAAATTTAAATATAACAATTGCATTTAATTTTCTTCACAGAAATGCTGAGATATAGCCCATGTGTTTTATATTAAGTTTTCTTAAACCCCTTTTTAAAATCAAGAAGGCCTTGCGACCACCCTTGAAGTTTTGCTGACCCCCAGGTTGGGAACCACTGGTCTAGCAAGCTGAAGACATTAAGGGGGTCATTTTTATTGACTGTTTTTATGTGAAAAGAATCTCCTTTCATACAGGTTGCACTTCAGAGTGCTTCACAGATGACTGACAAGCCCATAATAAGACAGAACATTTGTAAACCTTAATAGAGTGAAATAGAAACTAGATGAAATATATTAAAGGCAAAACAACGATAACATGACTATAAAATACAATGAAATGGATTTAACAGCTATAATAATAAAGGTCTCAGCTATTGTAATAAAATGGAGTGAAATAAAAGCTAGATTAGAAACTAGATAAAATAGATGAGATGAAATTTGAAAATAACAGATTAAATAGAATAAAAATGTACAACAAAGTCTGATACCATAAGTGAATACAGTAACATAAAATTGGCATATTCTTACTCAAAAGGCAGACAGAAGAGGTGGGTTTTAAGTCCTTCACACTCCTGCACTGTGAACATGTGTGACGTATATGCCGGGCCAAAACCATGAAGTGCTTTAAAAACAAGTAAAA